TGAAAAGAAGTTTGGGACCACAGTTTTGTGCCCCTTTAGTCAACATAGAAAACAAAAGGCAAGGTTTGGGGAGATGACTCCATTGATAAGGTGACTGCCATATAAGCATGTATACCTGAATTCAGATCTCTGGCACCCATGAAAAGCTGAACACAGTAGTAGCACACATTCCCAGCTATGCAGAACAGAAATAGACAAATGTGGGGGCTGGTCAGCCAGCCAGTTTAGCCAACAGGTGAGCTATGGGTTCAGTAAAAAACCCTACCTCAAAAAAAAAAAAAAAATGTGGAGAGCAAGAGAGGAAGACACTGTTGACTTCAGTCTTTCACATGCAAATGCATTAATGTGGACACCCACATATGCATCAACCATACATGCATACACCACACACACACACACACACACACACACACACACACACACACACACACAGAAGCAGAGTCCTACCCTTGCTGCAAGATAGAATGCCCAGAATATAAAAATGACCAGGCTGAGATGGGAGACTTGGATCAGTGGGAATGGAAAGCTTCAAAATTATGTACAGTAAATGCACCACTACCCTCCAAACATAAAGTACCTGGCAGGCTCAACATCACTGCCTTCCTGAGGGATGCTTTTTAAGAGTCAAAGTATTTTTCGGAGCCATTTTCTGGTTAACTCATTAGCCTGAATTGGTTTTCTGACCTTAACACCTGCTGTAACCAGCAGGGGCTTGAAAGAGGCAGAACTAAAGGGGTGTATATTTCAGTAAGCAGGAAAAACTGAGACAGGTTTTGTGCAAAGTTGAGCAGGAGACTTTGGGCAAGGAAAGGGCTAGAGGGACTTAATAAAATGCACAAAAATTCTCTATCTCTCAGGCCATCCTAGATCCTCTAAATTTGTTTATCAAGGAGTGTTACACTGAAAAATTGATGATAGATAGGTAGATATTTAGATGGTAGATTGAGACAGATTATAGATATAGTTTGATAGATTATAGATAGGTAGATAGATAGATAGATGATAGAGATAGATAGATAAATAGATAGATGATAGATAGATAGATAGATGATAGATAGATAGATGATAGATAATCTCCATGAGTCAAGCAAAAGTGCCAAAGACCACTCCTCCTTAGTTTCTTCCTCCTATCGTCCTTGTCATAGCTGGTGAGGTCCAAGTAGCCACATCCCCCTATGATGCTCAACTTGAAGCAACAATAGAGAACATGGTACTAGGACTACACAGTGCAGCTACAGGGGAGGCCATGTAGTTGCCCTTAGCTAAACACTTATAAACAGCAAGCACTGAGCAATGATGTAGTCTGGTATCCTCAATGGTGTCTGAAAGCCTGTCTTGAAGATAATGCTGTATGAAACACACAGTATAAACTGTAAAGTTGCAGTTCAAAACTGGGATTTTAATAAGAGAAGGGGAAAGTAGCTACTACTTTAAATGATTCGGACTTATCTTCACTTCTAATAAACCTCAGACGACTTTTCCTGCCAAAAGAAAAACAGCCACAAGATTTCTAAACTAAGAACTTTTTCTCCCTCATAATAACACATATATACTTTATAGGTGCCTTCTTTCTCTTTAAAAATGCTATTAAAATGTTTGTAGCTCTCCAGGATTACATGTAGAGCCAAGGTTATGAATATGTATAAATATGCAGATGTTCTATTGAATGTTCCTTATCTCATTTGTATTTCTGAAGATGTATAAGATAACCTTTGTGTCTTTCAAAAGCATCTTCCTACACCTCAGGGAGCAAATTACCTCTATTTTCATTTCCTTTAAAGTTAGATCATTTTATAATTAAGAATGTATTGAAGCAGATTCTCCAATGTGTAAGCTACTCCCTGGGGAGTAATTTATGCAGAGAGAGCCTCTGACTTAATATCATATAAGCCAAAAACTATTCAGTGGCTACCTGGGATTATTTTAGTCATTTATAGTAACTATAAATAACCCACTTCTTGAAATGCTATTGTTAAACTGAAATCCATAGTACAAATTAAGTCATAGTGTGATTCATTGAATTACTTTTAAATTATCTTTAATAAAGACACAATAGCACATCAAATTGTGCTTCTTTTCCAAAATCATCAGAAAAAAAACATAAGCTAATGGATATAGTGATGTTGATGACATTGATGGTAATGATACAATGATAACATTGTTTAGAAATGCCCATTTTATCCTCACAATTCTATGAAGTTTGTTGATGAATACTATATTTATAAGTGACAAAATATGAGTTCAGAGATTTTATCTTAACTAGGGCCCAAATTAATGGATTAAGGAAAGCAACCTAGGAGGTCAAATAAGAATAAAGTCAACCCTCCCATTTCCCCATCCCAAAATTCTGAAATCATTCCAGTCATATTGGCATCTCAACCCCAATTCCCTTCCTTCAATTTTTCATCTTACAAAAAGAGAGACAGAGAGAGAATTCAAACTTCTGTAGCTTATTTAATTTTACAAAACTTAAGTGTTATCCTAAGGCTAAGTATTATGTTTGTTATGTAAAGTAATAAAAAAAGGTGGTGATGTTTTCCACTTATTTGTTTTGTATATCTGAAAATAGAAAACTATAGCACTGTATGCAAGTGTCAGCTTTATGTACAAAGCATTTTGAAGGGTATTTTGCATAATTATTTTAAATTAGGAAAGGAAATAACAGATCTTTCTAGTGTGAATAATTTTAACAACTCTTTAGAGTACCATCAAATACAGAAATTGCTGCATTCTGAATACATAACCTACATGGTGACAAAACATTCCTTCTAAGACATTATGCATTCAGGTGCCTGGGAGACACCACATAAAAGTGCATGTGTCCCAGTCCCACACCACATCATACTCCATAAATGTCCACATTTCTGTTCTAAGTCCAAATCTAGCTCTCATGCATGCTAGACAAGTACTCTACCGCCCAGTCACATCCTGGGCCCGAATATCACCATTTCAGTCAGTCCTGTCACTTTGTCTCCCTTCCGATTCTTCATCGGCTTCCATTTTCCATATGTTTCAGCATTTAACCTCACTTCTGCCTCTGAACCATTTTCATACTTGCGTCTTCACCTCCCTTTGTCCTACTGTACCTTCTATGCTGCCATTGCCTAAGTTCAGGATCAGGAACTTTGGTCTTCTGGTTTTCTTTGGTTAGTTTGCCAAACTCTAAGTTTCTCCCTTCACATCTCATGTAGGGGTTGGTTTGGGGACAATTTAGGATTTTGCTCACACTGTGCATGTACTCTGACATGGAGCTACATATAGACTTCTTTCCACCATTCATTTACTCTTCATTTTATCCATTCCTTGTAGCAAATGGGATCATGTAAAAAAAAAAACCCTGCCTAACTCTAGCAGCTCCAAAGTCTGGTGTCACACTTCTATGTAGCCATATGACCCAAATTTCCCCTAAAGCCAATTGTTCTGTATGATAACCAGCCACAGTAATACTAGACCTCTGACCTGTTTTCATTCAACATCTTTTGTCTTTCTCTTCAACCTAACCAATTCTATACAATCCTCAAAATGAGCTGTGTTCCTGACCTGTTTTCATTCAACGTCTTTTGTCTTTCTCTTCAACCTAACCAATTCTATACAATCCGCAAAATGAGCAGTGTTCCTGATTAGAACTGCAATAATCTGGAGTAGTTGGAATGTTGCAGGTCCAGGGGTAATTACCCTATCTTAGGCTAGCTTTAGTCTCCTGGATAGCCATTCTTTTCCCACCACTGTGTCAGAACTAACATCCTATGACTAATACTCTTTTAGAATCATTAGTTTAGCAGACCACTTCCACTAACCCAAAGGCTCATCAGACAGTATCTGAGACCTATAGAAAAACTTCCTTCATCTTGCTGTGATGACCACTCTGATGTACCCATGAATGCATTTCAAACTTGCCCTCATTTATGACTTTCTTTGTTCTGTGAAACTATAGAACTTTATGAAACTCTTAACACATTTCAACATAGGATTTGGGATAACCTAAAATTATGACCTAGGCCATGGTTACTCTAATATACAGTTTTTTTTTAATAAAACCTCTTCATCCCCAGTGAAACTAAACGCATGTTAACTTCCATATAAAGTTTTTCTGATTTCTTCATTATTAACTTTTTATTAATGAGGCTATCAAGTTCATTACCATATCTTCTCTTGAGCCATCATGTTTCAGTATCCTTGTAGACATTAAAGCATGCTCAGTTAATGTTTGGTTGGTTCATTAATAGTATTTTCACAGAGATGACCAATCCATCCAGCCACACAGCGTGTAAGATCACCATATACCAACACTCGTCTTGCTTTATTTAGTTATTTAAAATATTGTAGAGATAAGACTATTTAAAAACCCCTAATTACTTCCTATTTCAAATGGAAGATTAGAAATGGAAAGGCTTGAGTTTACAGGGTTTTTCTGTCATGTTATTTTAAGGAAAAAAAAGCTTTAAAAGGGAAAAACAGTGAAAGCAGGAGCAAAGATCTGGTCTCTAAATATGCATTGCAGGGGTGTGAGTGTGTGTGTGTGTGTGTGTGTGTTAAATTCAATTTGAAAAAGCAAAGGGTAATTGATAAATGGATGTCCTTTCCTAACAGTAGTTCTCAACATGGGGGCTGTGACCCCTTTGGGGTTGAACAACCCTTCTACAGATATCCCCTAAGACCATCCGAAAACCCAGATATTCCATACAATTCATAACTGAGGTAAAATTATAATTATGGAGTAGTAAAGAAAATAATTTTATGGTTGGGATTACCACAACATGAGGAAAGGGTAAAGGGTCGCAGAATCAGGAAGGTTGAGAACCACTCCCTTGGAAGAAGGTTCGGAAGGCCATTCAAATAGTAATGATGACCCAAACCATCACTCTCACCCAGCATCTTCTAACTGTTAGCATCTACCAAAATATCTTGGCAAGAACAGGTAAGTGTTGACATAGAAACAAGTAAAATAAAAGAAGACAATTATGAACATTGAAAATGCTTTTTTTTTCTTACTTTTTCAGCACAAATTGAAGTGATACCATGCAAAATTTGTGGTGATAAATCCTCTGGGATCCACTACGGAGTCATCACGTGTGAAGGCTGCAAGGTAGGGACTTTCATATTGCTGTCATGTTGCTTTAACGAGGACACACTGAGGGATATATGTGCCTCCTGCTGACACTGGCTGAAGAGCCTCTTCCAGAGGACCCAAGTGGTCCCTCAAAGTGGTTCACAGATATGTGCAACTCCAATCCAAGGGTATCTGATGCTCTCCTCCAACTTCCTTGGGCACTGCACAAACATGGTACACAGACATACATGCAGGCAAAACACTCAGATGCTTAAAGTATAAAGATAGTAATAAAAAATTTTAAAAGCATTACAAGTAGACTCTAAATCAGTCAAAAGTCATCCTTACCCAAATCTTAATTTTTCAATGAGTTCCTGAAGTTCTTGAAGGATAAACAAGATCTTATTTTGATATATGCCACTGACATAGATATAAAAAAAAGAAAGTGGCTAAGAGCACAAAACTTTCTTCACATTCTGTCCAGTGTTCCCTCAGAGAGATTCCATCAATCCAATCACAAACACATTCCTGTGAGTAAGGTGTTTGGAAAACACAGGGCTAAGGGAATATCAGTTACCACAGACCTAACCTGAGATAATCAAAATATGAAAATTAAGAGTAAGTGATCTGAAAGAAGAAAAGAATGAGAATAGCAAGAAACACTCGAAACAGTTCTACAATATGTTTTACAGGAATGGGCATAACAAGAACAAATGCATGTGCCATATGCAGGAGGCATGGTAGATGTTGGCAATATCATTGGCAAGGTCAATCATGTATTTGAGTTCAGTAAACTGAGAAAGATGCAAAAAAAGCCATGAACACTATGATTCAATCAGAATCTTAGGAGACTTTTAAAGGTAAATAGGATAAAACAGATTATAACTGCCAAGATAGCACTACTCTTGGGAAATTGACGATGCCTTCACAAGATTGGAAAGGCAGAAAATAAAATAAAAAGAAATAAGTGAAGATGATATGAGAAAATAAAAATCAACATAGTGGAAGGGTCTGGAATGGAGATGATCCGTGATATCCTTGGGCAAAGCTGATGAGATAGCCCTTTATTTTATTCCCAAAAAGCTAGAATTAACAGTTATGTACCACCCACTAGCATGCCATTATTTAATTCCATCAATGAGAAACAATAAATAAGAAATTAGCTGCTTCTTTGAGCCTTCATAAGTTATTTTCTCTGGGTAAGAAGACAAATAGTTTTTGTCATAAGCATTAGTAAGTTTGTAACGAGAACTCTTTCTCATGAGGGCATTTCAACAAGCTTGTTCTGAAGGTTTAAGATTCCTGGTGTAGTTTACAATATAGCCACTCAAGTTGTTTGTATATGAATGCTGCATGCTCATTATTTCATCACATAAGACATTTGGAAAATGTCAGACTTCAAGCTGCAGAGATATATTCATTTTGAGAAACAATTTTAAACCATAAACTCTTAAATATTGGATAAACATAACCCAACATGTCAACAGCAGGGACAAGTGGTTAGACTCCTGTCATCTTTTCAATCCACCATGAAAGAAATTATGCAGTCACTAGGAAGTATATTCTGGGGTTTTTGTCAAACTGGCTATATATCACATGACTTCTATTTATTTAGAACCCACATGTATAAATATGCTACAAGTTTCTCCAGTAGAAATCCCATTCAAAATCAGATATCAATGTCAGCATATTCAACTACCAACCTTCCTGAGTTTTTATAATAATGCTCTGGAATCAACATACACAATCATTTTAAACATCAATTCAGCTCACAAACTAATTCAGTTCCTATTCATTCAGGAAAATGTGAAACAGAATCTATTTTTCATGCCAAAAATCTCATTTGCAATAATGAGCAACAGATAAGCAAGAAATGACTCATAATTAATGTCAAATTGGCTGTAAATTAGGGCTTGTGGCTGTGACTTCAGAACATCTTCCCTGCCAACTCTTTTACTAAGTGGCACTCCAGTATCCAAAGATAAAACCCATGTGATTCTTCCTTAGGATGTAAATTCCATGGTGCCTGTAATCAGCACCAGGACACTGCAATGATGCTTTCTTGGTATATAAATCAGGCATTTCGGCCCCTGAGGACTTAGATGTGCTCCTGTTTCCAGAATCCAGTCAAACTGAATTCATGAAGCTTTATTGTGCAATCACCAGTGTAATGAACAAACACCACAAGTGAAGATATAGAGGTGAACATAGACCTTCTTGAGTGGATCTGTGCTTCAACCTCAAAACCAACTAGAATCTCTCTCCAATGGCTCCTTGGCCGTACATCCATTTTAAGGTTCCTTTAGGCCAGCAAAGCCTCTTTACCATGCCATTCTAAGCCATACTGAAATCTAAGGCAAAACCAAAATCAATAGTATCAATCCTATCTTTCTTTAAACTGTTGAGAATTTTCACACTGTTACTGATTTTAACTTTATTGAAACATTCTCTTTTCCTAGTAGCCTTTATTTTTAGTCAACCATAAATTTCATGTCCAAGTGGGTCTTCTTGCATGCTTTATTTTATCCTGAGGAAACACGGGTGTTTGAAAGAACTTCCGAGCTCTATTTCCAGCCTCTTGGAGGTTTTTCACTTCCAAGAGGTAAAGCTGAGGGCTATCTTTCCCTGGGATTATCCGTAATGCTTATATTTAGGCCATCACTTTGCAAGTGGCACTTTTCATATTCACTGCATTCACTGCATTTTGAGAGTGAACAGTGATTGGGGAAACTGATTACCTGAGGGAAAGAACAGACAATGTTAAGTTTCATGTCTGTGGGGGGAGATGTTCATTTTCCTTATTATGCTTTCTTCATAAGGAAACTAAGGGGGGGTTGGTATCCAAAGAATTAAAAAAAAAATAACAAGAAACCCAGCTACAGGTGTCAAGGGGCCATGTGCAGTCAGTTGTACTTCTTCTACTCTGGAAGAATCTGAACCGACCTGAAATAAGAACTCTTATATCCTATAACCTAAAAGCAGGCATTTGTTTTTTGCCTGTTTTATATCAAGGAAGTTGTATTTAGAATTTCTTTGACTCAAATGGATTTATGACAAAATACACCACAAGCTTCAAAAACAACTGGCTACACAATGTGATGGTGCTTAATCCCAGCACTGGGGAGGCAGAGGCATGCAGATCTCCATGAGTTCAAGTCCAACCTGGTATACAAGGTCAGTTCCAGGGCAGCCAGAAATAGCCAGAGTTGCGTGATAAGGCTCTGCCTCAAAAGAAAATAAAGAAACTAACACTTTCTGAACAATTCTTTCTTTCAGTTTTGGAAAGACACATTTTAGAATGTAGGCAAAAAATGGGGCTAATGCTGAGCCCACACTTCTTGATGCTGTGCTTCTTACCCACAGCCATAGTTCAAACCCAGGCCCATGTCTCCATCAGATTTTGACATGCCTCTTTGATGGTCCTTCCTTGTTGTTCTTTTGGAGCAGAATTATTTTCTCTTAAGGAAATTCTTTCAGTAAATATTGAATGAATGAATGAATGAATGAATGAATGAATGAATGAATGATTGAAGAAAGATGGTGTCACATGTCCATAAAAATGCCATATATTCTGCTCAGAATTATCTATAAGCTCTCCAAGAAGCAGTCAAAAGCTTTTGAAAGATTAAACTCAGCTATACTCCATGTATAAAGTCTATCCATGTATATGCTAATGTTGCCCTTTCTCTGAGTCTCCTGCCCTCACTTTCTCTTTTCATCTCTAGGGATTCTTCAGGAGGAGCCAGCAGAACAATGCCTCTTACTCCTGCCCAAGGCAGAGAAACTGTTTAATTGACAGAACCAACAGGAACCGTTGCCAACACTGCCGATTGCAGAAGTGTCTTGCCCTAGGAATGTCGAGAGATGGTAAGGCTCTGCCTTCCTAGTTCTTGGAGTTTTCAAATGGATGTTTGGCTAGAGGCTATTCAAGCCACTGAAAGAGTTTTAACTGTGGGAGCTGGGGATATGGAGGAAAGAGAACCACAGTGCTGGTCATGAATTAAGAAATAAAGCAGGAACATATCAAATGCAGAATTGCCTGAGAAATAAGAAAAAAAGAAGGTGATGGAGGTTTGGAGAGCAGCCTATGCTATCTAGATTAAGTGAGGCCAGGTAAAGCTAGATAGTATATGACTACCAGACCACATTTTCTGGGAAAGAGGGCTTCCCTGGGATGTGAGGCTTTCAGTGACAAAATTAGAAAGCCTTAGGTGAAGAGAAGGCATTCATTAACCAGAACTATCTGATGTACACAAGTTACTTAGCATATGGGCACACTAGGAGCAGATCACGCCTCCTGGGAAGCGAGGCTACTCACTGTCTGTTCATATATACCCAGTGACAGACCTAGACTTTTCTGAGCCATGACGAAAGTGCAAATTCAGGGGTCATGTGTTTCCACTCATTAGATGATTGTGTGTGTGTGTGTGTGTGTGTGTGTGTACTTCTCCACACAAAACCAACTGCTTAGATTCATGATAAAAGATGAAAAGTTAAAGCATGGCAAACGAAGAATTTTGCCTCTTTTTTTTTTTCACTCTTAGTATACACGTTCTTATACTATGAACATTGGCCCCCGCTTTCTTGTAGCCATATTGTGTGTTATAAAATGGCCTTGTATTATGAACAAATACCACCAGCATCAGGGCTGATGGGGACTTATCTGTCCAAGTAAGTAATAGTAACATATAGTACTGAACAACTCTAAAGTTCTGCAGCTATGGTTTTTCATTTTGTCTAATCAGGACTTGAGAATGAGTAGTGCAATATCTCCTATCATTTTTTAACTATCCTTCCCAACTACCGGCTCAGAAAATCCTGGCAAAGAGCTTTAGCAGTAGTACAGGAGCCAAGGTAAGATGTCCTCACATCTCCCTCAATGAGCTTCACTGTGCTACACACACTTGCCGTCTGCCACTTATGTCTGGCTCTTACTTCACCATGTCTGGTCACTGGACCATCATGGCAGCTGGTAAACAGATAGATGCCTTACTATTCCAATCATTGACCTCCTATCCTTCCCTGTGTAAATGAGCAGACATCAAAGTCAGGGATTACAAATTTATTCAAATCCACCTAGGTAAAGAAATAAAGAAAAACGAATGCATCTTAATACATTCTTGTGCCTGTGCTGCAAAGTGGCAAAAGTGCTTATGAATAGATACCACATATCTTGAATCTTCTCCTTCCTAATGTATATTCTCTATTTGTTATTTTTTGATTGGTTACCTAACTATTCAAATAGATTCCCAGTCTATTGTCCAGGCTGGCTTCAGATCCACTGTGTAGATGAGGATGGTCTTCATGCCTCGCCCTCCCAGTGCTGGGATTACAGACATATGCCCCCATGGCTGGCTTCTCCTTTTCTGTTAACTGGGCTCTACAAATCAACCCTTGGGAGAAATATTTGTAGAGAAATTAGTAGATTGAATCAGACTTCTAATACAAAGTTTAGATCCCTGAAGGTGTTAGCTCATCTCCAATGCTGAAAAAGTTGAACTTTTTCTAGTGCACTTCGACTAGTGCAAAGTAGGTAAAAAACCTAGAGACTTGGAGACTTAGAGACAGTAAGACAACAATTTCTAAATGACCCCAGAGTCACAGGTGATGCTTATGCAGCTGGAATCTGAAAATCACCTTTCAGGGCTTTGTTGGCTCCCCAGGGGAGACCTTACCCTTTCTGAGGAGTGGATAGAGGTAGGAGGGAAGTAGGGAGAGGAACAGGAGGAGGGGAGAGAGAGGAAACTGAGGTAGGTATGTAAAATGAATTACATGTAGAAATGTTTTGATGGAGCAATGACTTTTTATTTCCAATCACCCTGAAAACTTCTGTTCCTACTTAAAATCCCACACTCTAAACAAAAGTGACATGATTTCTGACCCTCCTACAAAGAAGGACACTTCTTTGTAATACGGGATGAAATGAGGGTTAAACATTTATTAGATATTGATGCTGTCATCCTGGGTATTTGTAAATCACATTCAATGTATACAGAATCATGGTGGTTTTCTTAAGACACGGCAATTTAACAAGAAACTGTCTCTATACACAAGGGAATGTTAAAATATGAGCTGTGCTCACTCAAGAAGAGTGATGAGAAGCATGCAAATACTTGAAAATATAACAGTAGATGGCCTTTGTTAACATGAGCTTTTAATACATCAAGGTGCCTTCAGATAATAGCCAGGAATATATCTATGTCAGAGAAATTCAATAGGTGTATTTTCATGGTATACTGTACATTTTCCCCTGGAGTATATCGCCAGCTTTATTGCAGGAGAGGACATAAAACTGAAACACTCTTCTGAAATAAATGGAAAACTTGTCCTGGAGTAGCTCTGTAGTCATTGCCTATAAAGTCTTTGATTTAAAACAAAGCCTGAGAATTCCAAGCTGTAGTCTCTTTAAGTTGCCTCTTTCTAGATATTCCAAGTCAGCCTTGTACAAAAGATGTACATTTTTCTGTCGAGTCCTCAGATGATTACAGCAGAGCCCTTGGCAACATCCTTTTCCAACATCATTAGCTCTAATTACAAGGACCATGGTTAAGAGCACATGGAGGCATGCTTTGGCTGCAGGTCAGTCTATGACCCTGCTGATGGTGGATGGCCTTGCTTGGGTGATAGAAGAGGCCTGAATCAGCTTTGCATATCCAATTGTTCAGCAATCTAGTCTGAATCAGCTTTGCATATCCTGTTGTTCAGCAATCTAGTTCAGGCATGTCCTTGCTGTGGTGAGGTACCCGATCAACCAGGGCTTTTTCAAGTCTCTGGTTGTCACACATTTGTCAATAACCCATTGACCTAGGCAGGTCATGTGGTTGGGAGTCCAGGGTTGGGCCGCATGCCTGCACAGAATGAAAGGGAATTGGGAATAGACATGGGGAACATGAAAGGATGCAGGTAAAAGGAATTGGGGTCATTTTCACTCTGCCTCAAAATACATAGAAATCTGACTTGAGGGTTAAATGACAAGTATTTTTTTTAAGGCAGCTCTGATCCCATGAAGAAAGCTGGCTCACTCTTGATTTTTAATCCTATGATTTAAACCTATAAATGCACACTCTTCTATAAAGTTACTACAAAACCTTAATCTTGTGCAATGGAGTCAGTGCTTGTATTGAGAAGACTGTAGCTGCCATAAGAGCTATCTGAGCTAACCTAAGTACAAAGGATCAACGGTCAGCAAGAGAGATAATGAGCAACACTTCTTTGGGACACAGTCCTCCTGAGCCAATGTTTAATATTATTTAATTTTCCTTATGAAAATTGTATTTTTCCTCTCAAGAACAATATGTACATTACTTGTAATGACAAAATATAAAAGTACAAGGAAATGTTTCCCTAACCATTCAGTAAAATTCTGCCCATGATCAAGCGGAAATACCGCACCATTCCAAAAACAAATTCTGGGAAGCAGAGTCTAATAACAGCCCTGTCTACACACAAGTTAAACATAACACAATGATCTAAACTAATTCAAGACCTAGGAAAAGCAACAACTGAGAGGGAAAAGGGGAGTTTGCTAGTAGTTAATTACATTGTTTCTCTTCATTAAGAAAAACTACAGGATAATTACCGTTTCATCTTCCTACTTAAGCAGCACTGGGAAGCCAGAGCACAGAAAGTTTCTTTTAGAAAGATTAAAGAGTAAGAAGAAAGAGGGAGAGGCTAGGGGTGTTAAAGCCCAGCCAATCACAGCTTTGATCTGGCAAGCAAGAGGGGAGAAAACATGCCACTGTACCTAGGAGTATCCAAACACTCCTATCTGTCTGCACTCTGTTATCCAGGACTTACTTAGTCACACAGCCACACTGCTCAGTAATCAGGGCTGGGAAGTGTGGTCTCTATTTTGAACAAGCCATACTCAAATAAGATTTGATAGCACCATTCCCAATGCAAGGGGAAGACAAATTTGGAAGAATGCAGTACGGAGTGAATGGCAGCATCTTCACAATGCAGGCCTCCTCTGTGGACTCTCTGAGCTGGAGAGGCTGCAAGCACTAACAATGTGTGTGCCTCCTTTCTGTACCCTCTGAGATCCTGACATCAATAAACCACAGGGAAACTGGCACAACCACCACCAAAGAAAAGAAATCAGAAACTCAGATGAGCATCTCCAAGACTACCGTAGTCCCCACCATTAACATGAGGTGGAGAATGCAAGATGACTTGAACCAGGCAGCCCAGTACCCAACATGCCCATGTGCTAAAAGAGAGGTTGATGGCATGTGAGAAAGAAGTCACTATCCATAATAGTTCACAAGTCAAGAAGCTATGTGTAGGAGTGAAAGCCTCTTTATATTATTCCCAGACACTTGGGGAGCCTCTCCTTCAGTTTCCCTCCAAAATGCCTGAGGATTTGGCTGCAAGAAAAGGGCAAAATAAACTTGTAGTCTGGAACAACAAGGAAAGTTATTCTTGCTGGTTCATTTGCCGTGAGTGTACATAAATGCCACCATCCAAAGGTTATCATTTGCTCCAAATCCCAAAATGATGGCAACTCATGAGGTTTTTTAATATACCCTGCCTGAATCCTTGGTCTTACCAATAAAAAAAAAATATGTCCCAAACTGAAACAATGGGTTTCTTCCCAAGGATCTGATAATCCTAATGATAGGAAAGAAAGTCGGTATTGATTATGGAGGCCATTTTAATAACAGGAAACCTTTGCTAGTGTCATAAGGTTTGTTGTTTGGGTTTTCAATATGCTATTCACAAATGGAGAGAGAGAAAGAGAGAGAGAGAGAGAGAGAGAGAGAGAGAGAGAGAGACCAATACATCTTCCAATTTCATAGCAGTGACAAAAAAATACACATTTTTATGTTTCTTCCTAACTTATTGTTACTGTTTAGATACTGAATGTCCCTAAATGTCCATATATTAACATACATTGAGGATGTGGACCTCAGGTTGGCACTGTTGAGAGGGTGTAAAACCTTTAGAGGGTGGGGGCTAGAGAGAGGCCTTAGGTCACTAGAGAGCATCATCTGAAGGAAATACTGGGACCTCAGCCTCTTCCTTTTCCTCTCTTTTGCTTGCTTGGGTTGAATTGCTCTACCACACATTCTCCAACATAGTATCCTGCTGTGCCAAAATATACTATGAGCCAAAAAATAAACCTTTCTACTTCTAAGTTGATCATTTCAGTCACAGTGGTAGAAAGCTGAACAACACACAGGTTTCATTACTCTGAGGCAAACCAACACACCATCCAAATACTATCTTTCCCTAACTGTGGCATCTGAATGAGTGAAGCACCTGTTTGCAGCAGGTTGTCTATGCGATACGATCGATGTCCCTTGGAGTGAAATGGCTAAAGATAACGGTAACCACACTACTGTCTTTTGCTTTTCTCTCCATCCCAGCTGTAAAGTTCGGGAGGATGTCCAAGAAGCAGCGGGACAGCCTGTACGCTGAAGTGCAGAAGCACCAGCAGAGGCTGCAGGAGCAGCGGCAGCAGCAGAGTGGGGAGGCAGAGGCCCTTGCCAGGGTGTACAGCAACAGCATTAGCAACGGCCTCAGCAACCTGAACACCGAGGGCAGCGGCACCTACGCCAACGGGCACGTCATTGACTTGCCGAAATCTGAGGGATATTACAACATAGATTCTGGTCAGCCATCTCCCGATCAGTCAGGACTGGACATGACTGGAATCAAACAGATAAAGCAAGAACCTATCTATGACCTCACATCCGTACCCAACTTGTTTACCTATAGCTCTTTCAACAATGGGCAGTTAGCTCCAGGGATAACGATGACTGAGATCGGTGAGTATAATAAATCTTCTCTGGGTTTTATTTCTGGAAGGTTCTCCTTTGAAGGTTCCTTAGTCCTGCTCAGTAAAATCATCCTTACAGCTCTAAATTAAATTGCATGCATACCTGGTTTCTACTGAGTGGATGAAATTGTCTTATACTCTAACAATTGTCACTATCCCCTTACCCCATAAATGCTATTTTGAGTGAAGGAAGAAGGAACAAATAGAAAGGTGCTATCTATAAGGGAAGAATAGATGCTCTCAGTGAATTTAGATTCTTATAGAGGAAAAAACTGTTGGTGCAAGCAAGAAAATTTCCTAGCTTTCCAAAGGAATATTATTCAAAGAAAAGTGGCCACAGCATGGAGTACTACAATGGATGGTTCTCAAAGATCACTGTAGGCGCACCTTAAGCACAAAGTACCCCAGATTCCCTCTTTGTAAAGGTGCAGCAAGCAGGCAGTCCGAAAGACAGCTATTGATTTTGTGAAGCTAAATTCAAGAATTTAACATGAGGATTCTAGGGAGAGTACTTAAACACAAGGACTTACGTTTAATCCCCAGAATCCATGTTTAAAAAAAATGGTACCCCACTTGATAATCTCAGCATTGAGGTGAACAAGACAGACTCCTGGGCTCGTTGGCCAGCCAGCTTAAATTATGTGAGCTCTGAGCCAGAGAGACAGCCTGTCTCAAAACTACAAAGGGGACAGCTCCTGAGAAGCAACAGTCAAAACTGCACCACTTACATGAATATACAAATGTCCCACATACATAGATATGCAAATGACCCACAGACGTGGATATACAAATGTCCCATATGTGTAGATATACACACATGAGCATGTATACACTTGAATATTACATGGGATTCTGAATCACAACAGTAAGGTCTTGAAGGTTATGCAATACAGAGTAACAAGTTAATAATGGGCATCTTTCAGCTATGATGACTTTTGACCTCTTAGGACACGATCTCAGGGGTTTCCCATCTCAGGCAAGCCCTCTCCTGACGTACAGTAATTTTCTTTTGACAGACTTTAATGGGTTAATTTCATTAATGAACTGCCACAAAAATAGCAGCAAACTCTCTTAATATGTTTCCCTCCCAGGCAGCAGAGCTACATGTCCACCTCAGAGCAAAAGCAGAAGTCCAGTCTAAGAGGCAAGCAACCTGAGTTCTAATTCAAGCTCTGTGGATTATGATGTAAAGTAGGGTGCCTTGATCCCAGATCTCTAATCTTTGAAGAGGACAAAGCGTAGTTTTAGGTCACGGGGATATCATAAGAAGGACAACATCAGACAAGTGCCCACCAAGTTCTCCACTTACTTCTGAAAGCCCTGTGCTTAGTTGCCATCAGATAAGTGCCTGGATCCCACAGCTGTTTTTCGTTTGAATTAGCTAGAACATACAATGAAATCAGTGGCTGTGCTCTAGGCTGCTTATGACATGTGTCTAAGGGAGATGCAATGCCACACAATGGTAAACCTGAGATGCTACTTCTCCTTTTCAATGGTTCATCATGTGGCAGAAAATTAAGTTGTTGATTTCTCAGCCAGGAGGCACCAATATTTGGACTCTGACTAGTCCACTATATTGCTATCCTTACCTATGTGCTTATTGTAACAAATATTTTATAGACATTTTGATTTCATAAAACTCTGAAGAGTAAAAACAAAACTCCTATTTTACTGCAGAAATAGGGGCCTACAGAGGCCTAGGGCGGCTCACTGCTTCAGAAGGGGCCCATGGCAACTCCATGACAGAGCCCAGGGTGCCTAATCCCAGGGTCTCGTGCTTACCTATTTACCTGTTGCTTGCTGTATTCACAACTCATAGAGATGGTCTTTGTCTTCAGAGACCTCCAATCTTTCCAAATGGGTGTGTCAAAACAAAGTAAGGTACCACTTAGTATACAAGTTCTTGAGTGTAGTATTGGTTCGGAACAGACATTTAACTCACAGTGATATGAACGATGGAAAGTACTTAGCAATCTCGGCCTCAAACACAAAAGGAACATTCACGGTTTATTTATAATGTCTCATTAGTAGAAATTATGATAAGAAAGCTGCAGACAAAATCATTGGCTCTAGGTTCCTGTGGACAAGCACTTTGCCTTTCTGGTCCTCAGTCTATTTGTCTACAAGCTGATAGAAGAGAACTGGATAGCTGTACATCTCGTCAGGGGTTCCTGCAGAGGCACTGACACCCAAAGAGAACCTTTCATAATTATTTCAAGACATCACTAGTCTCCACATGTGCTCTAAATTTTCATCAGACTTTAAGGGTGAAATTAGAAGTGTCCTGTGAGCACTCTCAAATGTAACAGACTCTTAAACATGGGCTCTGTTCAGATTTTGCTAAAACAGCAATGCCACCTAGTGGACACAATCCCATTCTAAGTGTATGGATCTCGGGGTACAAGGTTACAAGGCCACAGTAGGGTGATAGATGCCTTGTCTTAATGAGTTATCTGAAGCTAGCCATCCATGTCACGATAACACTAAGTTTATAACAGCATCATTCTGCAAGAAGGCAGCAGAGAATGTTTTTGTACTCTGGTTCACAGCTTCGCTCTTTTCCTTGATGTCTATGTGTCTTAGCTCTAAACCAGGATCAGTAATAGTCATTGTGCTTATGCCAGGGAGAAAAATGAGTAGATACTTATAACTTCCTAAGCAATTAATTGCCATTTCTAAGAATTATCATTAGCATGGTAAGATCAACATTGTGAATATTATGTAAGATCCCCAACTGCTACAGGCAGTACAATCACCTTTTATTAAGTATCCATTGTATAAAATGATATCCTATCTTTAATTTTTATAGATGTCTTGGTTTGATTGGTGAATAAATGCATATACATTTTATAGAAATATTGAGGCTAGAGGTCACATTCTTAGTAAAACCAAAGAGCTAATTTGAGTCTGGACCCAAGTAATAAAAAAGCCATTCTTTTAGTGTTTTCTAGTGTATTTTCTCCTATCAAATGATAAGCACTCTGAAGCTTATTGGCATTGCTACAGAAAGGCATGCTGGGAACTTGATGCCTGCTCACATCATTCTACGTGACACTACATAAAGTTCACAGGGTTTTCTGCTGACCTTTTGACTTGATTTGATCATTAGGCATCTGAACCACTTGGTCGGTGGCATGTTGTCATTGAAAAAGTCCTGTACATACAAAAGAGAAAATCTGAGCTTAATAACATTTTAAATGATGAATTCAGGGCTCTGAAATCTAAGAAATGTGTGAGCATTGCTCGTGGTTACTGGTTCTGACTGCTTCCTCTTTTTTCTGAGAGAATAAGGATTATGAAGTCCTGTCAGTGTGCTGAGATCAGTCCTATGGGTAGACCTTTCATTTAAACCAAGTTTTAGATGAGCCTGTGTTCAACAACATCTTGCAGCTTTGAAATCTGTAATAAAAAATGCATTTATGAACTACAACATAACATTTTGAACAACTATATAAGACATCGAAGTCAGTTATATGTATTATCAAAGTCAGGAATAAGCCCAAACCAAGTCCACCCTTCTCCAGAGGTGCCAGAGGAACTCACACTTCCTGGGTTAAGGGGTGTTAATGATAATAGTTTCTGTTTAGATGGAAAAGTGAAAATCTTTTCACATAGGTCAGTAAGCATGAGGCTCACCCCCTGCTTCAGGTCAGCTGAAGATGAGGTTAAGGGTCAGAAAAGGGAGTTTGTTTTTCAAGCTAACCAGTAAAGCTAACCAGTACTTCTAACTTAAACCACTCATTTTGCTACCATAGACTTCCAGGCATGCTTTGAAGAATTTCTTTTTACAAAATTCCGGTCATTGGAAATAAGCAAAACGTGGTTTCTACCCTCACCATCTAAGTGACAGATGTCAAAAGAAGTAGTTACCATTTAGAATAGAATAAACTGGCCATCATCAGCAAGGCAGCCTTGCAAAAGACTTTTAGTTCAATCCCAGCATGCTAAATTAAGTAAATTAATTTTTTAAACTTTCATGAAATCTAAGTCCTAAGTGATCCTGCCCATGAAGGTCTGGGAGATGGTGAATATCAGTTACTCAGACCTCTTCTTATCAGGAAAAAAAAAAAAAACAAAATACAGTTAAGAGAACAGAAACAACAAAAGATATTTCAGAAATGTATCTCTGGGCTGTTCAAACTCCCAAGAGAAAAAGAAGCCATGAAATAAGAAGAGGCTGGAAGTCAACCACAAATTAATATTTAAGCCTCAGTATTGACAGGGCTTGGCTGGGAATTTACTTCAAGCTGGCATGATGGATGTGTTATGTCTCTGGGAATAATATTCTGTGTGGTTGGTGATAGAGAAGGGAAGCTAGGCAAAGTGAGCCGGAAAATAAAAATGGAACCATTGGCTTCAGCTTACCACCACAGCTCTCCAATGCTCAGGGGATGCTACAGGGATTATCCTCTTAATAAGGCTCATTTAAGCTGAAAGATGATTGGCATGTTATCTAGAAGGTTCCAGACAAGACAATTCAAGGAGCCAAAAGACATTTTTAAAAGGTGAAAGAAAGAAGAATATATATATATATATATATATATATATATATATATATATATATAAAGATACATACATACATACATCTTTAAATTAACTGCTAAGAGGCATGGTGTGTCTTCCATGCCTGTTGCCTGACTCTGGTATTTTGCTGAGGTGTTTCCCTCCAGACATAGACAAAGGAATGTGGACTCACTGGTCTCATTGTTCCCACATAGTGTTAACATGTATTTATTCCCATATTCCTTTTGTGTTCTATTCATGGAATCTGGAGTTTTAAATAACAAACAGAAATAAATCTCATTCTGGATGTATCTATTACATAACTGAGAAAGAATAGAGGAGACTACATGAGGAGATATGCCTAAAGTGATCTAGTCTCTGTAATGTATGGCTTCATACTGTTAAAGCTACAGACACAGTCAGAGCACATTGCTCAGGGTGCTTTATTTTGTATAATTTTCTATACATTTTAAATGTTGACTTTAA